ATATATATACAGTATATATATATATACTGTATATATATCTATATCTATATCTATTTAGAGTTACTTTATTTATTTATCAGCACAAATACAACATATATGTTTGTGTGTGTGTGTGTGTGTGTATATATAAATGTATACATATATGTATGTATGTATGTATGTATGTATATATATGCCAAATACCACTCACTCATCACAAAATCTCCAGAAGCATAAAGCCTACAAACTTGAAATTTGGCATATATGTTCCTCTTGGTTTCTAGGTGCTCGGCTAAGAAAAGATTTTTCGAAATGACCATCAGATCATTAGTATTTCTGATACAGTAAACATGCTCTGATGATAAAGAGTTCTACTCCCCCTCCCCACTTGAAAAGAACTCTGTTCCAACTGCCAGTTGCCTCACATTCCATTACCTCAGTTACAATTGACAGATGTTCTATTTCTTCACTCAGGAGCGGTCTGGGGCTCCTTATACTATTAAACTTCGGTACCACACCAAAATGTCTATGCCTTCCATCTATAGAACTGCTTCCATACTCAAGGCAGTGACAGCAATAGTCCCTTATATGTTTCAATCACCAACCACCACCGAGCCAGTGGATTGAGCCAGATTTCTCCAGCATTGCCCGATCACATAATTTCATTGCGAAGCACGGGTATCCAGCTAGTACCATATAAGGAGGAAATTCACCAAGTTCAAATAAACTGCTGAAGAGGGAATGTCCAAAATTTAATTCTGGTTCATATGATCTAGAAGTATGATGTACTATCTCCCTTCTGAACAGAAGTTGTTTTGCATATTAATTCTGTTCTAGAAAGGTTCATAGAATTTGTAGTTGATCACATTCTTTTGAATTACATACTAATGATTTGGAAATTAACTGGAGGCCAACTGAACGAGTGACTATAATGCTTGGCTCATAATCCTTTAAGGGATTTGTAATCAACCATCTGCAAGGTCCTCCTTTATGGAACTCCCCCCCCCTACTTTTTATGACATAATGAATTGATTCCATATTGGAAAAAAATCCTTACCCTAATTAGGTAAATGTAAAGGTTTCCCTCACACATATGTGCTAGTTGTTCGAGACTCTAGGGAGCGATCCTCATCTATGTTTCAAAGCTGAAGAGCCAGAGCTGTCCGAAGACTTCTCCATGTTCATGTAGCCAGCATGACTAAATGCTGAAGGCGCACGGAATGCTGTTATCTTCCCACCAAAGGTGGTTCCTATTTTTCTACTTGCATTTTTAAATGCTTTCGAACTGCTAGGTTGGCAGAAGTTGGGACAAATAACGGGAGCTCATTCTGTTACATGGCACTAGGGATTCAAACCGCTGAACTGCTGACCTTCTGGTCGACAAGCTCAGCGTCTTAGCCAGAGCCACCGTGTCCCTTCTAACCTAATTATTGAAGGATAAATAGGTTCCAAACTAGAAACAATTCCATTGCTGAAATTCTTATAATTCTATCCTTTCATCTCAATTCTATTCTGCTAAAGAAGATTCTGAAAATCTTGCTTGGGAGAATTACTTTCAATGAATTGGTTGCCAAGAGCCTAACAGATACTGTACATGACTGCAAGCAAACAACTAGAGCAAACAAAGCAACAATGCAACGGTCTGAGGAGCATCACTTTTTCTAGATATGAAAAATATTTTATCATTGAATGTCACAGTTGAAAGAACAACTCAGAAGTCTGGGGTGGATATTCTGTACTTCTGTATCTATCTCTGAGTTCCCATTTCATCATTATTGTTAAATAAACCTAGATATGAATAATTTATAATAAGACATGAATATATGTCTGAAATTACTTTTAACTAGCATGAGAGGGATGCCTCGTGTGGGTTTGTTATTTTTCTCAACTTGCAAACGGAAGAAAATAGAGAAGAAGAAATATTGTTTTAAGCTTATTAGAAGTACCTGCTTTGCTGTGCTCTGTATTAGTCAGAATGCAGCCAAAGTATTGTTTCTAGTTCTGACCTCTGCATTTTTTTAAAAAGAGAAATAAACTTCCACAGAATGGAAAAAAATAAACAAGCCCTATGAAAAGCAAATGAAAAAAGATGGGGATATTTCAGAGAAAAGAAGATATGGATGACAGCAGTTTTCGAATTCTCTGGCACTTTTACACAAAACACAAGACAGTTCCATGTTGCTCCAAAAGGTAAAAATGTAATGTTATTAATTTAAATTTGCAGACAAAGCTCATTTAATGACCGCAGTTGGGAGTGGCAACTCCATCACTAAGTGATGTGGTCATTAAGCAAGACATCTTCACATCACCATGATGGACTTATGACTTCATTTCCAACATGGTTGTTAAGAAAACCATTCACAGGCATCAAGAAACAAGCTATCACACAGCCACAACTTGCTATTTTACTGTTGGCTTCTCCATTGAGTCTATTTGTCAGCAGCTGGTTGTGATGTGCCCAAATGGCAATCACGTGATTGTGCAGGACAATCATGTGACAGTTAGTTATAAATACTCACTAGTTCAGAAGCACCCAAACCTCAGTCATATGATAATCGCTAAGTGCAAGGACCAGTTGTAAAATTAGTTTTTCAGCCTAGGGAATCAGCAGATAAGAGATAGCCTAACCCACAGCTGAATAGTGAATGGGGTAATCTGCTCAGAATGGATCCTTCCTAGTTTCTCAAGCTGTAATGGGGGTAGGTGTTCTGACCTAGGCTTCACCAGAGCATGAAGGAAACTCCTTGTCCCAACCCAAACCCCTTTTATTAATTTACTGTGAATTCTGTTCATTCACATCCAACAAAGTCTTTCAAGGGAGGATGTACAATCACAGAACTTATCTGTCTTGGAGAACTGACAGGCCGATATCTGCAAAACCTGGCCAGGAATTTCGGAGAGTCACGAACCAATTAAGCAAACTAATTGTCTCCTGCAAACACCTCCCTTTTCATTCCTTTTTTATTTCCTCTGGGAGGGGCCATTCATCGTCCATCTGTGGCCTTACTCCCAAGTCGACCCCTGTTCTTTAGCTGTTCCATGGCAACTCTGCGCATGCGCACACTGGAAACAGGCTCCAGCTGTTCGCCTGCCTCACATATGTCTGATTCTGAAAGCAGCTGATAACTGGCATATGGCTCTGGCCGCCTCTCTGCCTCCGACACATATCCCTCCTCAGAGCCTTCCCCAGCCTCCAGGACTGGCCCATGTTCCTCCCCAACCTCCTCACTGTCTGAATTTGCTGCCAGCTCTGCTGACCACTGGTGGCCCACAACAGTTGAGGGGGGGGGAGTAGGATTGAAACCTAGAATTCAATATTCTATCAATGTATTTCTCTAATAAAGTAGAATAATCTTATCTGGTCATGTTTCCTGTCTGATTTACCTAGTAAGGCTGATACCAAACTTGCAACTTCGAATTTACAATTCTCCTGCTGTCTCCTTTACAGCTCAAGAAGCTAGGAAGAGTTTCTTCGGAGTCTCTTGCGATGCCCACTATCCAGATGCAGACTATCCTTCCTGATACAACTAAAATTTTGTCTTTTTAGGAACCATGTTTACTCCTATATTTTTTTGGATAGCAACCAATTATCATTTCATGATTTCTTTTTTTCCACAAATACCATGGATTCACTCTCCTATATCTAGGCATTATATTTCTATGTCCTAAGTTCAAAACTTTACCTCTATCTTTATTCAGTTGTGTTCTCAGTCCACTTCTCCAACTAAATTTTCTTTTAAAAAATTCTGCCTTCTAGGTTATTAACTCTCCTATCAAATTTTGTGTCTCTGCCAATCTTATAAAGAAAAATAAGCATTCTCTCCATGTCCTCCTCCAAGTAATAAATAAAAATGTTGAAGAACACCAGGTCAAAGATTGAAAATTGTGGCAATCCATTCTTCTACTTTAATGAGGACATGTCATTTCATTAATCTATCAAGATTATTTCGAATTTTGTCTCCCTCTTCTAGAGTACTAAGTAGCCCATTTTAAAATAATCTGTGTGGAAATTTCAATTACAACAGCTCCTTCTACAAACCTCCCCCCCTTAATCTTCTTCCCCTCCCTTCCCATTTACAGATATTTATAATCTTAGTCATAGTACATGGAAAATTATACAAAATTTAGAACAACTTGAAATAGAATTTCCAGGTGCAGAAAGTTGGTGAGTTGGCTGCCAAAGTTCAAAATGCTGGTGTGTTTTTCCCCTCCCATTAATTCCCTTGACATGATACGAATACAGCCCAGTCGCTGCTTTTTTTATTTATGCTTCCAAGACAAATAATAGGAAAAAATAAAAGACAGTTGTCTTTCTTTACTAAGACGAGGATTTGCACTCCCAAGTTCAAGTATGCTATTCCACATGCTATTGCTGAAATACCACTCACTTTAAAATAAAATGATCTCCCGCGAGGGGAAAAAAAACAGGAAAACAACAAACATTTTGTCCGGCTAGGCATTCACTGGAGAGCTGTGAGGCGTAAGTGTTGTGCACAGGATTAGAAGGAATGAAGAATCTGGGGAAAGCTTCCACGTTTTCACAAATGGGCTTTACTCCCTTGTGCATACATCTTTATATGAACTATACCCTGCCAGACTCTAAGGCCTTGCAGTAAGTTAAACTAAAACTTTTTTTGGGGGAAGGGGCATATAACCCCACAGAGGCAAAACTGGAAAAGAATGTTTCTTAATAGATTCTGAATGCAATAAAATGAAATAATCTACCAGTGTAACTTTCCCTGCAGGGTCAGAAACCAAACATCTTTGCTAGATGTTATTGAATAACCAATGCAATATTAATATCTTGGTTAGAGTTCAGATTAGTTTTTCTCAGCAACACTGCATTTCATATCAAAGGCTCATACGACATAAATGGTTTAGGGGAAGTCTAATCATTTCTCTTCACAGGTTCTTTGGTTCAAAAATTAAATGTTTACAAGGAAACCGGGAAAGCTATGAATGAAAGCCGTGACAAACTCTGAAGGTTCAATCAGTCATAAAATATACTTTTCCTTACTGAATAAAGAATCACTGATATGTTTTCCCCCCATAATTTTGCTTACACATTTTTATTTAGACTGTATTCAGATTTATTTTTTTGCATAGTTTTATAGGCTGGTCTTAAAAAAATATATTAAACTGCATATATTAATATGATTGGTGGAGACAGATGTGATTAAGCTGCCCAACATGTAGAAAAACTCAATCTACTTTAGACTTAAACTCCTCTTATATTTAATAAGAGAGAGTAAATCAAAATGTATAAAGCACTGATATGCATAGACTATGCATTGTTTTATAAAGGTGCAATTTATGTCTAAATTATCTCTCAGATTTCCTCAGCATAATGTCCCCTCAAATGAGCCTCAGCTTATATGACTACAGTTTAGCCTAAAATTTCTTTTGCTAAGTGAGACATTTGTAAAGTGAGTTTTGCCCCATTTTACAACCTTTCTTGCCACATTTGTGAAATGAACCACAGCATAAAAGAGACAAGGTCATAAAACACGTAAGGTAAGATAAGTTTTATTGTCATTTTTTGCTATGAGTACATTGGTCCACATTAAAAATGAAATTCCATGGCCTGCTCTCAATATGTGTGTGTGCGTGCGTGCGTGCGTGTGTGTGTGTGTGTGTGTGTGTGTGTGTGTTATATTTGTGCTGATAAATAAATAAATAAAGGGAGACTAGTATAGATCTATTTCAAGCTATTTAGCTCTCATCAGCTAGCCATACCCTTACTGGGATTCGAACCTGGGCTGATTACATCTTAGGCAGATGTGTTAACCATTGAGCCACAGAGCTCGACTCCTTATCAGCCAGCCAGGCTTTACGGAAGGCTGGGAGAGTGGTAAGGGTCTGGATCTCTGCAGGTAGATCATTCCACAGGGCCGGCGCAGCAACAGAGAAGGCCCTCCCCCGGGGAGCCGGCAACCGGCATTGTCCGGTTGACGACACCCAGAGGAGGCCCAGCCGGTGCAATCTGGTTGGTCATTGGGAGGTGGGTGGCGGAGGCGGTCTCTCAGGTAGCCAGGTCCTAAACCACGTAGGG